GAAAGAGTCCCGGCGAGGAATGCGGCTTTCAGATAAAGACTGTTTGTCGTCCGGCCCGCCCCGGCCACACTGAAAATTATAACTCACTGGGCCTTTCACTGCTGGCTCTCGCCCACCCTCAGCTCTGCTATCAGCGTCCCCCCTCCCTCTCTACCTTTGGCTTAATTCTCACCTCAGATAGGCCTAGGGCAGGAGGGAGGGTCCAAAGATAAGGTGAGGCTTTGGGCTCTTTAAGAAGTAGTGTATTTTGCTTGATTTCTGCAAAATTGCACCTTGGGCCTCCCTCTGGCCTCCAGGTGACGGAGTGTGCCCTCCCCAGGGAGAAGGGTGGGGCCCCTCACAGGTGCAGAGAAATGGGCCACAGCAAGGGGTGCAGTGGGTGGGGGACACCTTGGGGAAGGTGCAAGGCATGGACAAGCGTACCCCTGGTAAGTTCTGCAGCCTTTGTCTGAAAACACACAGTTCACTCTTCCCCCCAAGGTCTCATCTGCTCCCCAGGCTGGGGTCAGAGCTCTACTCATTCAGGGTTGGGAGACAGGCCCTCAGCTCATCTCTAAAGAGGAGCCGCTCCTCCTGCAAACACCCCTTCCCAGCCCACGCCCCTCCAGGCCTCACCTCTGGCACACCCCCCCCGCCCCCCAGTCTGCAAGGGAGTCTTCTGAGCCGCTGGGGAAGTGGGTGTGGGCCAGATGCTAATGTCCATGCTGCCCCCTTCTCTCTGCAGAGGTGTAAAGACAAGTTAAATGCTTTGGCCATCTCAGTGATGAACCAGTGGCCAGGAGTGAAGCTTCGGGTGACGGAGGGCTGGGACGAGGACGGCCACCACTCTGAGGAGTCACTGCACTACGAGGGCCGCGCCGTGGACATCACCACGTCAGACCGGGACCGCAGCAAGTACGGCATGCTGGCGCGCCTGGCCGTGGAGGCGGGCTTCGACTGGGTGTACTACGAATCCAAAGCACACATCCACTGCTCTGTGAAAGCAGGTGAGTGACACCCCCCACCCTGTACCCCGATCTTCCGGCTCCAGATCCACCCACACGATGTCACCCGTGTGCCCTGTGGCCTGATTCAAGGCAAAGCAGAAGAAATAGGGAGGGGGCTGGAGAGCCAGAGAAGGGCATGTTTCTGCAGTGGGCATGTACTCTGTGAGCCTGTCCCCTGCCGGGCATTGCCCGTCCCCATTTAAGGCTGCAAAGGCCAGAGGTCCTTTGAACACTGATGCACCTCCCGCTTCTGGAGCGCCCACTGGAGGTGGCCGAGAGAGGGAGAAAGATGGGAGACACTCTCCTGATGAGAGACTGCAGCCCTGCTGTTGGCTAGCTTTGGCTTCATCCTTCCTCTCATTTAGGGCTTAAGAATCAACCGCCCCCCACCCTCCACACCCGCCCCAGGACAGGAACTTGTGTCCAGGGGGTAGGCCCCTGTCCTCTCCCCTCCCCGCGAGCGCCTGCGGATTCTAAACTAACTTAACTCACTGGCACAGCCCTTGGGGAGAGGCCTGGTGGGAGTAATAAACTCAGCAGCCACCACTTCCAACATCTGGACGCCGCAAGCCCAGAAGCACCGCCTGGCTCGTTAGCAGCAGCTCGCTGTGCCACAGGCAGGGCCTGGAAGCGGAGTCTGCAGCTGCGGCCGGCGGTCTGGTCGCAGGGAGCGCTTCCCTTCCCCGGGCCTACACCGCCCCGCGCAGTCTCTTGCAAGGAATCGCTCTGGAGGGAAGGCTTTATGCCCACACGCGCGAATGTCCCAACTTGGCGACTGTTTGGCCACCTCCGTGTAGCCTGAGCGGGCGCCCACCTCCGTGTAGCCTGAGCGGGCGCCCACCTCCGTGTAGCCTAAGCGGGCGCAGTTAGCAAAACAGTTCACACCGAATTCCGAGGAACCGTGTCTCCCCACTCGCCCCGGTTTTGCCTGTTTCTCCTAAGCTGTATTTTAATAGCAGATGTGAGTAGAAAAAGACTTAGTAGGTAAGGAAAATAGTGGCTTCTATTCACACCAGAAAGAAAAGGAATGTCAGGGACGCTGGGGAGGGGGTCCCCGCCTTAGGACGAAGGAAAGGCAGCGCTGCGCCCCCACTTCGCGGGGCTCCGCGGGGAACTTTCTTCCCTACTGCCGCTCCCCTGACCCTCTCCCCACCCCGCAGTCAACCGCTCTCCCTTCCCGGGACCTCGTGGCTGCACTTCTTGGGGCCACCCCTGTCCGTGGGGTCCCCCTGGCGGGGGTGCTCTTTGCGGGGGTGTTCCCTAGAGGTCGCCTCAAAATGAGCAGCGGCAATCCGGCCTCAGGGCCCCGCGGGAGCAGACCCGCGCACAGAGCAGCTCATTGGCATTCCGCGCACACAGCCGGGCGCGGCTAGGCTGCCCGCGCCCCGGGCCGCATTCCGGGGACTGCGGCGGCCTCCCACGGCCAGGCCCGCACTTCATGCCGGAGAAACCGATGAGAAGATTAAAAACCCTCGGTAATTCCAGCAGGAAGATTCTTTCTCGCGATCTCTATTTGCAAAAAGCATGATCCCAGAGATTGGAATGCAAAGAAGAGTGGGCCCCGCGCCCCTCCTCCCGGCCCCCAGCGCGCCGCCGCTCTGATCATTGTCCTCGGGACAGTGAGCCCCCGAGAGCGACGGAGGCTCCAAACAGCGCGTCGTCAAGGGGCCTTGAGAACCGGCGGCTTCCAGCGCTGCCGCAGCCCCGCCATTTAAAATTCAAATACACATCTTGAGAGCTTGGAGAGAGGCCTGGCTGTGCAAATAGTGCTGGTGAGGCGGCTCTGGAGAGCCGCGTGTGAACCGCGGGGGGCGCGGGCTGCACCTGAGCAAACAGGGAGGGGCGGCGGGCGGCGGGGAGCGGGGAGAGGGAAGTGTCCCTCTGCCGAGCGCGTCCCTGTGAGCGCAGCCTCCGCGGTGACCGCGCGGGCCCTGTATTGGATTCACTAGGAAAATCCGCGCCGCCCGGGTCCCCCTCAAAGATTCCACTCTGGAAGTCAGTGCTTCTCAGCCTTGGCTCTAAGGATTCCCTGCAGAGTTTTGTTAGGACCCCAAGGCCCATGCTGCTCTCCAGACAAGTTACCTCAGGATGTCTGAATGGGAGACTGAGGCA